GCATTCAACAACAGTACAGTTGTTTTAGGGTTTAGAGGGTTTAGGGTTCGGTTTTTTTGGGGGGTTTAGTTTAGGGTTTAGGATTCTGTGTTCTGAGGAAGGGGGACGGTGTTGGCTTGCTTTTGTGCTTGCTTTTTGTAAAAAGGGGGATAGGGGGGATTTAGGATTTAGTGTACCTTAATGATTCAGGATGAGGGTATCGCAGTACAACGCTTTTGATGACTGTTGCCTGTATCTTGTGTGTTTTCGAAGCAGGCCTGAAGGGGATTCTTGTTAGGGCTTCTGCATACAGTATGCAGATAGATAGACAAATCAATAGATACATAAACAGACAGATAGATTGATTAATCGATAGACAGATAGAAAGATGGATGGATCGATAGATAGCCTAGATAGCTAGGTAGGTAGGCAGGCAGGTAGGTCGGTAAGCAGGTAGGTAAGTAGGTAGGTAGGCAGGTAGGTAGGTAAGTAGGTAAGTAGGGAGGTAGGTAGGTAAGCAGGTAGGCAGGTAGGTAGGCAGGTAAATGGGCAGGTAGGTAGGGAGGTAGATGGGAAGGTAGGTAGACGTTGAGGGGGAGGTGCTTGGGTTGAGGGTTGCCCGGTCTGGGGAGGGAAGCTGCGTGGTTGTAAGATGTTTGAGGGCTCAGGGCTATGTGTTTGACTGAACGAACCTAAGGACGCTCAGAAGGGGATTACTTTGCAAGGCTCCTATCCCGATTCGCCCTTATGCCTTTCACAAGCCTCAGGAGCATGGTAGCCTTCGGGGTCCGAATTCGGTTTGGGATTTACGATACTAAATCGTCATATACTCCTAAGGACTGACAACTTTGCTTTCCACCCTGGCATCAGCTCTTTGATCTTGGATACTTGTGATTCACTGGTTGACAGGATTTCCAAGCTGGCGGCACGAAAGTCAGCAACCCGCCAAGTCAATGTAACAGCGGAAGTGAGCATGGGAGTTCTTGGTGTGGTGTTCAGCCTAAGAGCCCTTGCGCGGTCTTGGACGAGAAACAAAGGCATCGTGGCCGTGAGCCGCCCCAAAGAAAATTGCAGAATAATGCCGGCAATCTTTGCTTGTAGTAGGGTATGGGGAAAATGCTATCCCTGAAGTTTAAAGGAAATGCTGTTAACCTCAAACCTTTGAACCCTAAGCTCCCTTGTACCTAACCCGAAACTTTTGAACCCGAAGCCCCAAACGCCCTAAACCTCCATGTACAGAACCCTTATAGAATCTCCCAACAAACACCGATCAGGACCCTAAAAAACCGCGAGGCTTCTCAAAGCCCCATATAACCCCCCAACCGGAAAGTCCCAACAGTGCCGGGTGTCTGGGGATCGACTCACCAATTCGCCACGTGTTCGGGCTTCCTCCTGCGGTTTTCGGGTCGCTTCTTGAAACCTTGAGGCACCGGATAGCACGGACAACTTGTCGGAAATGGATGGACCACTGTCTTTCGGAGACTGCCGCCAAAGATTAGCATGACGGATGGTGCCCTATGCTCCTGTCCAAGACCGAACCTTACAGATTGTTAGGGTGCTTAGCTGCAGGACCCCATGAAAAGCTACTCCTAAGCCGTTACGGCTTCAAGTAGTTCGACTCGATGGTCCCTAAACCCTCAACCCTACCCTAAGGCTCATGGGCCCTCAAACTGAAAGAAGATTGAGAACTCGGGGTCCCAACTAGGAGGTACCGGGCCCTGTTTAGGAGGTTCCGTAGAGCCTAAGGTAAATCCTAAACCCTACGGTCCTCCTCGGCGATTCGCGCCGGGTAGAGCTGCGGAAAGTAGGGGCCTGGCCAACACCCGTAGCCAGGCCCTGGAACTCAGCCCTAAACCCTACTTAAAGGATCATGGGACTTAGTAACTGAGGTTATGAATAAGGTAACTATAGGTATAACTACTTATAACCCCAATTAAGGTACTTATAACCCTACTTACTAAGTCCCAAGATCCTCCAAGTAGACTTCCCTAAACCCTGCCAACACTCTGTAATACCCGTCTTAAGGAACCCGTAAAGGAACTGAAGGCTCAGGGTCTTGGCAAGAGAGGGGTGTCCGGTTTAGACCACGTGCGACTCAGAATTTTCTTAGAAATGTCACGTATTATCAGGGTTTAGGTTTAGGGCTTAGGATGGTTGAGCAATGGAAGTCATCGCGGAATTGGTCCGGTCCAGAGAGTTTGCTGCAGTTTGGTTTGTCACTGTCGAAGTGCACCGAGTCGACCCACGGAGGCCTTCGAGTGAGAACTCCCAATCTCCGTGAGCCCGAAACCAGCGACGCGTTTGTAAGTATAAGATACCACGTCGCCCGTAAGCGAAACTTCAATCCCTATACCTTGACAGACTGAAGGCCCTCAATATGAGAGGCAGTTATGGGATTTCCTCTATCATTTTCTCAGGGAGAGCAGCAAGTGAAGCCGGGAAGTTACATCCGTAGAAGCGGACTCTTAACGGCCTTGTAAGAGTTCATGGGGCTTTTTGTCGGGATTCGGGTTTTAAAAGGGTTCTAATAATTGTTTTGTACGTGGCGATGCGGTTTGATGAGGCTTTTTCTACTACAGTAAACCCCCGAAGCTGCGGTCCAGGGTTCGGGCCTTCATTCCACCAACCCCCCCCCCACCCCGACGGGCTCTGAAGTCCAAAGTCTAAAACGCCGAGCTTAGGGTCGAAATGTTTTGAGCTTCGGATAGGAGAATGGCTGGAAGCTGAAATAGCTCAACCAATCGAGCATGAGCCAATGGAGGATTCTTCTATCGCATATATATATATATGTATGTGTATATATATATATAGATATAGATATAGATATAGATATAGATATATGAATCCTTACTATCATCGTGAAATCCTGGTCAGGTCAGAATGGACAGCTCCAATACCTTTCAAGGGACCGCGTCCAAAACAAGACCTTCCATGGACAGACTTGCCAGTGTTGCGAAGGTGGCTCATGTAGCGTGGGCCTCTGATTCAAGAATTCCCATGGCCATCATATGCATTGGCCTCCTAATCAACATCACTGAACCCCATTAAATTAAGCATAACTCCACAATAACCCCACACGCCTAAGCCCCCGGAACACCTTAGCCCTATAAGCTCAACTCGGAGACCCTAAAATCATGTTGGCCAGCCTGGGATCTACATCAGCCACAACATCCCTCTACCAAGCAACTAGATAATACATAGAAGCCTGAATGATTCCAATAGGGTTGTGGGATATCTTGGGTATCATCATTACTAAGAAATCCTATGACAAACAAAAAGTAATTCAGGCCCCTCTAGTTTTTCCCCTAAGCAGCTCCCGCCATGTGGCCAGTGGCCTCCCAGTGCTTGGCCCAACTCCAGCGAGTGCCCTGCGACGTCGCTGATGGAGCTCGCGGCTCCCCGGGGAGCGTAGCTGGCGCCTCCGAGGCTTCAGGATTTGATTTCGGGTGTACGGAGATGTACATATATATATACATATATATATATAGATATAGATTATAGCGTGTAGAGTTTGTTCTAGCATGCTTATAGCAACCCTTTTCGATGTCCCTTGTGAAACCTATCCTCATGATTCAGGCCCCCATAATATGTAAACAACTCTTTTTTCTTCTGACCTCGACAATCACAGCATTGCTGGCCTTTGACTGCCATCGTCCCACTGTGCGCACGTCTCCTGGGCTGTAACTTGGGATGTCATTGCAACTGCGACAGAAACTCCCTGCCTGGGAGTGCTGATGCCTGTCCTGAGGCCTATATAAGCCTGCGGGCTGCCTTGCAGCATAGGAGGGATGTTCCAGATAATGCTCCTTGTCGGCATCGCCTGAATCTCATATTCGCGAAAAGGGTCCATACACTGGAACAGCTCCCCATGTATCACAGCTCCCAGATGCTCTGTAGCGATCCTTCGAATATCCGCTACCAATCACCCCGGGACATGCGAATCGCAACATTGGGCGGTCTTGAGCAAACGTTCAACATACTGGTGGAAATACGAGCGCGACGATTTGTATGGGAGGCTGGACAGTCTAGCCGACGACAGTAATCATGCCATGAGTTCTTTAAGTCCTCTAGCCCTGAAGCCACGCTCATAATCCGGCAGCCGGACTATTGACCGTTGTACGGCAATGCTCCAATGCTAAAGTGTCACATCACGGGTCGGAGCACCCCATGTCTTGAAGACCACTTCTTGTCGAACACGAAAACCCTGAAAGTTCTACACTGCACACGGCCCGAAGCCCTAAACCCAAACCCACTGCGAGACTTCTCTATCCAATTGCGAGGAGGTACTGCGTTCCCTCAGGCCACTTCCCAGAAGGATGGGGACCTGATCTCGAAGGCTTTGGGAACACGTTATATATATATATGTATATACTATATGTATGTAAGTCTATATACATATATTATATTGATATAATATCATGTTGTACAATATAGTAACTAGGAGCCCTCAGGAATAATTGCAAATGATTCTAGACCGCGGCGTCTTGGTAGAAGCTTTAAGATTTCGGGCTTAGGGTGGGTAGCAAGGGCGTTTATGCTCAGTCAGGGGTACATACGTACGTAATCTAATATAGAAGCAGGTTCATCATCAAGGGTTTTAGGGGTTGAGGGCTTAAGGATTGAGCTTACTGGCTACCGCTGCTCGTCAACTCCGGCCAGGGAAGCAAGGCGTTCAAGCTGTTGTGGAGGAACTTGCACCAGTGCTACTGCCACAACTGCTCGTGCTCCTGGTTGCGACTACTCGCAAGATCTACGATTGAAATCTTAGATACGGTCCCGATCTAGGCACTTATAGAACTTCATGACTAGTACTCGCTATGGTCATTCTTACTAGTGCTATCATCATCGTCGACGCGATCTGCAGGACTCGCCACAGGCTGGCTGCTAGTCGATGGATGGGGAGAAAGTCCACGAGAAAGCCAAGAAAGAGGAACGTGTTGAAACCTACATTGGATCCACAGGAACCCCACGAAATCTGATGCAGCCATCCTTTAAGCTTTACAAGCTTTAGACCGAGCATCGGATTCTGTGGATGGACCGTGTGTTCCAGACGATGAGGTCGCCGGGCTCCACCACGTAGTCCGTGCATTTGCTAAACCTTAGAGAAAGTTCCTGTGCAGGCCTGTCTACCAAAAAAAATGACCTCCGGTCTTAAGCGTCAAAGTGTGAAGGGTCGGTATTAGGAACCATCGGTACTGGTCTTCGACTTCGACAAAGATAAATGCCGAGACTCTGTGCAAGGTCGCCTGAGGTGACATCTACAGCGACGGCATCAGATACGGAGGTGTTGCGATGTGAGCCGATCAGGTATTCCTTGGTGAAAACGCACAGTTTCCCTATAGAGCCCACAGAAGTCCCCACGGTTTACGCTCTCACTACTCGGGCAATCCAGATGGTGCCTCTTGGGTTCGCAGTCGGCTTGAGGAGAGATGCACTCCAAAGCAGCAAGGCGACATGAAAACAATAAACAAGCCCACAGAAAGTGTACATGCGTCGCAAACTGGTCAAACGTCGTTGTATTTGTGGGACGGTTTTGGGTTTTGGTGTTTAATGGAAGTATGCCCGAATGTCTTCCAATCACTCGGTCGGGGTAGGATTTACGGATGTCAAGTCCAACAAAGGGGGTTGGGAGTCGAATAAAGGGTGCAGCTCTGTACTCACTATCAGTATGAATGTCGCTACTGTCCTTTCAGTAAGTATCATCAATTCCACGTATTCCGCCTGATAGTGTGCATTTCTGCATGTAGGGCCGCTGTTGTACATCTTACTTGCAGCTTAAACCCTCCAGCTTCTCGAGTGCCTCCGGCAGACTTTCTCCTTGCTTTTTCACGTTCCAAAATGCTTTTCGGATGGGCGTGGCCATGTAGAGATTGCTACTCAAAGCAAGCTAAGGGTTTAGGCGGGAAACAGACTTAGCGGCTTTTCAATCTCGCGCCTTCATGTTCTGGTTTCGGGCGTAGGCGTGCCCGTTACCTGCTAGCTGCTAGAACCTACCTGTTGCCTTGTACTGAGGTCCGTTCCACCGAAAACCTAGTCCTAAAGCCTAAGCCTGATACCGAAATCATAAAGCACTCAACCCTAAACTCCCTGAACCCTACGGCATAGCCCTGAAACCCGAAATCCCGATGAACAGCGTCATGGCTCTGGCACACCGACTTTGTTCTCCCCGCACTTGTCCATGGCGACCCACCAGCGAATAGCCTCAAACAAGTTCGGGTCAACGGGGCTTCGGAGCATACTGGCATGGGGCTGAGTTCTACTGCGAGGCTTCGGGTGGGGACATTTCGACCGTTCCAAAACCACGATGCGCATTCTCATCCTGGTGTAGGGGCAAGTGTTGTGTGCCTCAAAGGCCCCTATGTGCACGTAACCTCAATAAACAGGGACAGTGATAAGGGACAATCTGTTCTGACAGCTCCTATATGATTATGGGCAGCCCCCAGATTCTGTGATGAGGCAGATCCTCAGAATCAGACTCAACCGGTACCCTCCGGAACCTCCTTCGTCAGTATACAACTTTGTGAACTACGAAGATCCATGGCAGAGATTGGTGTTGCTGCACGGCCCAAATACACAGCAGCCTATTGGAGAAGCATCTCTATCTTGAATCAAGTGCCATGGCAAACCAGACCGATTGATATAGGCGAATAAATGAAATAGGGCTTAGGGATGGAGGTAAATAGGGTATAGCGACTGTCATCTTGAGAATTTCGGACTTAGTGCCTCTAAATCGCGATGGCCTAGGTCATACCGGGTTTCAGCTCATCTTGTCTGAGACCACCCGAAAGCATTGCAAGGAATATCTCAGCGCCGAAGTGCATAATCCGACTCGATGGGACCATTCTGATTGTCCTGGTGCCAGCCGATGCCATCCTCGGCTGATAGCTCTCGAATTTAGACGTCAGTTACGCTCGTTCTCTGTTGTGGGGCTTGCGGGTCCTACTTTTCAGGTGTAGTGTAGCACTTACGGTTCAAGCTTGTACTTCTTAAGTTTTGGGGTTAAAGGCAGCATATCTGGTCTGGGCTTCTCATCCTACACAGGAAATAAGCCTTGCCAGCTTCGGGTCATAAAGTCATGAGGCCGCGGTTCCTTTCGTCTCTGAACACGCAAAGGGCATAGAACTGCTTACTACTGCTGGGGTTCTTCTTCTGGAGTTCTTGCCGCTTCAGTTACATGTGGTACCCGCGAGGGAACGAAACGGCGAATTCCCGTTCAGGCAACTTTTCAAAGTCAAGCTCCTTGGGACTAGCAGCCAAAATCCAACTGCACGAAGCCTGAGCCCGCAACTTTTGCACTCGAAGCCCCTCATCTGTAGCTCAAATTTGGGAGGTTTGCATTCGACATTCCAACACCCCATGCAATGGAGAAAGCGCTCTTGCCACAAGAACTCTTGGAACTTGCGCGTTCCAACATTGCAACACTTCCAACTCTATTAAGCCAACTGGCTCAAACGTCCCTGTGGTTTACGCGCTCACAACTCGGGCAAGCCAGGCGAGGTTCCATGTGTGCTGGTCGGCGTGATACTGACTGGATGCCCTAAGCCCTGTGGGTTCAAGGTTTAGTAGCCATGGACGTTGCAACAATACATATATCGACATCGAACCGGTATCGTCACCGAACCGTATCCCCACCGCAGACAACAACATCGCAGAAATCGACACCGCATGACACCGCATCGCGACATCGCACCAGCCACCAGTCCCTCCTCTCTCTCTTTTCCAACGCTCCAACCCTCCGCTCTCCAACCCTCCAA